CCTCTGACATTGACTCTTTCAAGAGTCCACATTGGTCGTTTCTATTAATTACCCAATTTCTGGATTTATCAGCATGTTGTGTAGCATTCCTTCATCCTCTGTGTTTTCTATAAACTGTTAATTAGGTCAAGAAGCTTCATGAGACACAGGTTCAATACTTTTTCGCAAGAATAATATCTTAGGTAATGTTGGGAATATCAGCTCCTGGAGAAGCATCACTGAAGTCACTACTTCAGTTATCCATGAATTCATTCACTTCCTATCCCTCATCCAACAAGGATGTGCTTGCCCTTCGCCACGTGCTGTGCTGAGGGCTCTGAGGGATACAGTGATGTGGCCGACCTGCCATTGGTGGTGAGATGCTAGGAAAGTCAGTGCTTCCTTCTGTCTTTCTGTGCCAGGATCAAAGGGCTCTCTTTATCTGAAGTGGTTGTAAAAATACAGATTAACCAGCTTCTCAGGCCCAAATAGAATCTCTTGGTAAGTTCTGGATGTCTGCATTTTAACCAGTTCCACTGTTTCAGTAGGTCAAAGGAGAGCAGGTAGGATGAAAATCAGTCCCTAAGGGGGAAGTCATCACCCAGGAGGAGGTTGCACCTTCCTCTGATTTATCTTTGAATCTACCAGAAAGATAGATATGCCTACAGCCCTGGGGTCAGACAGCCCTTTAATTATATGAGCAAAAACATCCTAGCCTCAGGGACTGTGGAGGTTTTAAAATATGTTCATCAATTCTTTGAGACACCTCCCTTCCCAAAGACAGAAGTTAATTTCTGTCCCCTCCAGTATGGGTCAGACTGAGTGAGTAACTCACTTAGAACAAATAAAACATGGTGGAAGTAATGTGGCGTGACTTCAAGACTAAATCCTAAAATGCCTTGCAAACTGCCCTTTCCTTTCTCCTAAGACTCCTGTTCTGAGGAAAGCTAGGCATCCCATTGTGAAGACACTCCTGTGGCTTCTTAGCCCTGTGGCTGTTCACAGGAAAAAGAACCAAGGCTCCCTGCTAGGATCTGGCTTCAGCCTCCTAGCCCTGTGAGGGAACACCTCAGAGCCACTTGTGGCCCATCAGGACAGAGGGCTGTGACTTGGCTCTTTACAACCTCGTGAAAGCTCATGAGCCAGAACAACCCAGCTAAACTGCCCCTGAATTCCTGGCCCACAGAAACATGAGTGTTTACTAGCTCTTCGTTTTGAGGTAGCTTGTTATGCAGCTATTTAGATAGGCGCTGCAGGGGATTCACACATAGTGTCAGGACTCCTGCTGGCGGGGCCCTAGAGAGCCCCATCTGCCGCTCCATTTGCGCCACTCAAAGCAGCCCTCTGGAGAACACCAGGCAGGGAGCTCCATGCTTTCCTGTTTGACACATGTATCTTCTCGACGGCTGCTGCTGACCTCACAATGAAATTCCCAGGCAGAACTATCTTTACCAGGCCTCCAAAGAATTTGGAGTTGGGGGCATCCACCTCCTGGGAGAACTATGTATAGAGATGACGCCATTGCCTCTCCCTTACCCACAGAATGTTCTTTTGAGACTTCTGTCTGCATGTAGGGCAGCTGGACAACCCTACTTCTGGCTGGGGAGCAACTTTTCTCAGTGGAGAGCCAACAGCACATGTGGGTATCAAAACTGCCACCTTTATTTCATTAACACCATGTTCTAACAAAACCAGCTGACTGGCCGTGATTTAAAAAAATAATAAAACAACACTTTGGAGCCAAAATATTTGAGTCAATTTATAGAACCTGTGAAGAAAGGTTAAAATGCAAGGGCTCACCAAGACTTTTTGATTAGAGCGAGTTTGAGGTGAGGGAGCAAAGTATATTATTGTGATGTTTCCTTGTTTTCATTTGGTATTTTATTTCTCTCTGGTAGATACAAGTGAGAAGTGACTTTTCTTATATCAAGAAAGATTTGGGTTAAACTCTTTTTTTAAGCTCTTTTTTTTAAAAAAAATAGACTACACCCCAGTAAATAATGGGTAAAGAATATAAACAAATAGTTCACAGAAAAGAAGATTCAAAGGCCCTTAACATTTGAAAAGATTGTCAGTTTCACACACAGAGAAATGTAAACAAAAATGGCCCTGAAACACAATCTCTCACCTTTCAGAGGGGCAAACATCCAAAAGTTGGTTTCGGATAACACACTCTTGTTGATGACGTTGTAAGGAAACCCCGCACTTTTATATGTGACTAATAGGAGTGCAAAATGGCACACACCACATGGAGGACACTTTGACAATATCTAACAACATCACATACCTATTTACCTTTTAAAGTAGCAATGTCACTGAAAATGCGCCTTCTCAGATCAAAAACAACAGAAGTGCAGGTAATTGTGACATTATTCGTAACATTAAAAAAAGTAAAGCCAACCTACATGTCCATCACTGGAGGAATGGTTGAACACACCATGGTGTTGTAGTCATACAGTGGGATACTATGTAGCTATACCCAAAAAATCCAAAAAACAAAGAACACCTCTATTATGGAGTAATTGCAGGGAGATTTTATTTTATTTTTTTAATAAATTTTATTTTTATATTCCCCATACAATTGCAATCCCCTTATTTTGACCCCAATCCCTCCCCTCCCCACCCCCCACTCCCCATAGAGTGTCTCTGGTTCATAGTTGTTTGTTGATTTTGATATTTTCTTTCTGATAGTTATTCATTTTCCTGTTCCCTTATTTAAGTTTTCTAGATTCCTGCTATGCATGAGACCATCCGGTATTTTTCTTTTTCTTCCTGGCTTATTTCGCTGAGCATGATCCCTTCCAGCGCCATCCATGTTGCTGCAAATTGCATGTGTTTATCTTTTTTGAATGCTGAGTAATATTCCATGGTGTATATGTACCACATCTTCTTGATCCAGTCATCTATTTTTGGGCATTTGGGTTGTTTCCAAAGCTTAGCTATTGTAAACAGTGCTGCTATAAACATAGGGGTGCAGGTGCTCTTTGGAATTGATGTTTCTGTGTCCTTTGGGTAAATACCTAGGAGTGGAATTGCTGGATCATATGGCAGCTCTAAGGGAGATTTTATTTTAGATGAAAAAGTCCAAGGTGCAGAGCAGCATAGATTAGTATATATGATATATGTTATATATATTATATATTAGTGTGTATTAATATCTGTCATGTATATGTATATACCTATTGCAAAAAAGAAACATGACGGATACACCTGAAACTAATAAAAATGATGCTGACTAGAGGGTGTGAGCAGGGTAGATGAGGGGAGGGCAGGACTCCTCTGCATATACCTTTTCATATAGTATATGCCTATATGTTCAAAAATTAAATTAAAAACCAAAATTAAATGTAATATTTAATATACATGGGAATAAATGGCGTTAGTTGTATATCAAATCGGTACTATAGAAACAAATAATTATTTAATTGACCTTCAACATACTATTCTAAGTGTATGTATATGCTTAGTGAGATATATTTTAAAGATTTAAAAAACTTCAAAAGATCTTTGACTTTAACTCAGTTTTATTAGTAGTAATATTAAATTGTAATTCAAATAGAGAAAGAATTCTAAAGACAGCAACTTACTATGGAAAGAGGAGACCCTGATAGGAACTGCCATTTAGTTCCTTTCCAGAGAAGACATGGCCAGGATGGGAGCAGGCAGTGGCTTGCCTGTGGCATAATTGGAGTTAAGGTCCCTTCCCAGTGCAGAGTTGTGAAGGACACAGTCCTCAGGGTCAGACTCTGTCAGATTCTAGCTGCAGGGCCTAGGATAACTTGTCACTTTTCTCAGTGCAGCCTGAAGGCAGCTCAGCCTGGCCAGGTGCCTGTAAGGGCTGTATTAATGCCCTGACCCTGCAGGTTCCTAGGGATAAACTCCAGCCTGACAGAAAGACCCAAGAGCACCGTGTGGCCTCCCAGCAGCTGTGCTGTCTTGGGGACTATGAGGGAGAAGCAGAGTTTCAGAGCCTAAGGAAGGAAATCTTGAAGACAACTTCAGACCTAAGAGTCTTAAGAACAGATGTCTGGCCCACCATAGAAAGCTGGCTGGTACGGCCTAGGAATCTTGACAGGCAGGCAAATGGCTACTTTCTACATGGAGTCTGGGGGCATCAGGAGGACACTGACTGACAAAGACTCACAGGTCCTCCCGGGGCTGGCTCAGGACCTCCCCAATCCTCTTTATCATGGCCTCTCCATCCTGTCTTCCCAGAAAGACAGTCCTCCTTCCTTAGGAAAACCCCTAATAAATAAACCATTTGGCCCACCTATTACTGATATGTGGCATCCACTTGCCAGTTCCAAGATCTTTAAGGAAATACCCTCTGAGTGCTTGGCACAAGACTACGGTGGGGCTCATTCACCCCAACCCACCCCACCCGACTTCCAGCCCCTTCATACCCAAACAACCTCTGGGAGAATACATAGCAGCTCAACCCCTTCAGCTGCAGGGCTGGGGCACCCCCTGGAGTGAGGTAAAGCTCAGACAGCATCTTCAAGCAGACACATGGTTCAACCAGCTGGAATCCTCCCCCACACCCCACACATCCCTTATTAGAGAAAGCTGCATCTGAGTCCCCACTCTGTTCCCACGCCGGGGCGCTTGGCTTGGTGGCAGCATGGGTGATGCTCCGGGAATCCCAGGTATGCAGGTTCCGGGAAGGCTCATGGCATGAAGCAGACTAACCACGCGCAGTTCCCCACCAACAGTCAGAGGACATTTCCTCCATGCGGCCCGCCCACCACCCCCATAGTGTGCTTCCCCATTTCTCTCTTCTTTGGAGAGGCTCCTTACCAGAGGCTCAAGGAGTAAGCTTTCCTTTGTCCAAGGTGGCAGTTGGCAGAGGCCAGTCCTCCACATTGTCCAGGTAACTTACTCAACTGGGTCCATTAGAGGATAGGAGGCACTGAGAGGAAGGAGCCCTGTTGGGGCAGTCCTCATACTGTTCCCCATTTGTCAAATTTCAAGCATTTTCCATCTCAGCCTAACTAACATTTCCTCTACTCCACCAGGTCTTGATAAATGTCATTGATGCTCCATTACACACACACAGTCCCATCTTGAACTTGACAAAGAATGTGTTGGAGAAGTTAAATGAGTGAGTACACTCAGTTAATAAATGAGTATGAAGTTCCCTTTAGTCTGGGAATGCAGCGGGACCCCCATGTGAGATAGGACAAGGCATGTGACATGATGCCGACTTTGTTTCTCCACTCCCTTATGGCTCTCATGGGTTACCAGCAGAAGACTGGGATGGGGAGACCATGTGAGGCCCCCATCAACACTGGGGGCCAACTGTGAACCCACATCCTCTACTCAAGGACCCAGGGCACAGACTGGGACATGCATACAGAACTCTCCAGAAGGCCTGAAAGTCACAAATAGCTCATAATGGCAGATAATCTAGCCCAAAAGGTGTTGCTCCTACAATTTCTCTCTAGTGCCCTCTCTGGAAGGATTTCCCAGATTCCAGTACATAAACATCACCCCACTGGAGATCTGGACTAGTCTGGAATGGGACTAGGGAATTTAACTTTTTCAGCAGTCATCAAGTTTTGTATTGTTGATCCCCAAAGATCCAGCCAGGCTGCCTTCCTTCTTTCACCTACTTAAGACCAACTTCTGAGGCCTAGTTCCTATGTCTGCATCCATTCCTTTCCTATAACCTGAACTGGAATGAAGACCCCTTCCGGGAGAACCACCTCCCCCACCACTTCAGTCCTCTGTACAGCAGCAACATCAGAAGGCCAGCAGTCACCCCAACGAGGATGCCACAGAGGCCACCTAAACTCCTGCCCCTCTCTCCACCCCACATCACCTCAAGTGGAAACTGGGTAAGCACATTCTTGCCTTCCTCCTCAGGTTTCAAGCTCTAAAAACCCACTTCCCTTGTCCTGCCCCATTCTGCTTTAGCTGACAAATTGATGGAGAAATACCAAAGAGACTTAGCTAGTCAAAAATTGCTTTACTTTCAGTAGAATGGGTTGATTGGGTTAGTCCACTTCGCTGATCCCAAGAGAGGACAAAGAATCCACTAGAAGCTGTCATAGAATGGCCATGGCATGGTGGCACCATCTACCTTGTTCCACCTGAAATTGCAGCCCTTGTCACTATTTTCCATCAGGTCGGGTACGGCACTGCCCGACACCGTAGAAGGAAAGGTCAAAGTAAGCTTTTGTGTGCTATTGATGATAATATTTGTTGTTCAAAAACATGTAATGCGCTTGAAAAGATGTTCTATTGCTTTGTCATTAGGGAAAGTTAAGTCAAAACTATAACGAGCTACCACTTCATCCTAACTAGCATGTCTATAATTTAAAAGGCAAACAATAGAGTTGGTGAGGATGTGCAGGAATTGCAGCTCTCATATGTTGCTGCTGAGAATGTGAAGCAACCTCTATGGAAAGCAGTTTGCAGTTCCTCAAAGACAAAGTCAGCCTAGGACCCAGCAATTCCATTCCTAGAATTGAAAACAGATATTCTAGCAAGTGTTTGTACATTATGTTCAAAATGAACTATTCATAATGGCACAAAGGCAAAGCAACCCAAATGTCTATCTAAGGACGAATGAATGAACAAATCACAGAGTGGTGAACTATAAAAAACGAATGAAGTACTGATACATGTTACAGTGGGGAGGGACTTCAAAAACACCTTCCTAAATGAAAGGTGGCAACACAAAAGATCACATACTGAAACTCAGATAAGGTCAATCTACACGAGTCCCCCTTTAGCCAGGGGCAAGGGTAGAGGATTGGGGATATGTTCCAAGACCCCCGGTGGATGTCAAACTAAGGAGAGTACTGAACCCTACCTGTACTATGCTTTTCCACATACATGCCGAAGAGTTTAACTTACCCATTAGGCACAGTAGATTAATACAGTAACAATAAAATAGAACTATTGTAACATCATGCTATATAATAAGGGAATAAAGAGTAGTTGGTGAAAGGGTGAAGGGCTTCATTGTGGGGGGAAATGATGAAAATGTTTTGGAATTAGATAGAGGTGGTAGCTATAAGCATGGCGAATGTACTAAATGCCATTGAATTGTGACATTTAAAATGGTTAATTTTATGTTATATGAATTTCATCTCAATAAAAAAGAATGTGGACACATATAAGGGAAAAAGAAAGGGAAAGCAGTCACGGTCTCCAGGTAGGTTTCAGAAGCTGCATGTCCCCCGAGAGCCTTGGCAGACAGAAGTGTCTTCCTATGACTAAATGACAAACGCCAGCTCTGCTCCGTAACTTCAGTCTAGCCATGGCATCCGCATCCCGTCAGCACTGCTGCAGGGGGGCACAGACTTCCTTGATCTCAATGTCAAACTTACACCGAAGCGTTTCTGCTTAAATTTATTTTTTTATCATATTTTAAATTTTATTTTTTATATTCCCCATACAATTACAACCTCCTTATTTTGACCCCAAGCCCTCCTTTCTCCATCCCCCACCCCCCACAGAGTGTCTCTGGTTCATAGTTGTTTGTTGATTTTGATATTTTCTTTCTTATAGTTATTCATTTTCCTGGTCCCTTATTTAAGTTTTCTAGATTCCTGCTATGAGTGAGACCATCTGGTATTTTTCTTTTTCTTTCCGGCTTATTTCGCTGAGCATGATCCCTTCCAGCGCCATCCGTGTTGCTGCAAATTGCATGTGTTTATCTTTTTTGAATGCTGAGTAATATTCCATGGTGTATATGTACCACATCTTCTTGATCCAGTCATCTATTTTTGGGCATTTGGGCTGTTTCCAAAGCTAAGCTATTGTAAATAGAGCTGCTATAAACAGAGGGGTGCAGGTGTTCTTTGGAATTGATGTTTCTGTGTCCTTTGGGTAAATACCTAGGAGTGGAATTGCTGGATCATATGGAAGCTCTATGTTTAGTAGGTCCAGAAATCTCCACACAGCTCTCCACAGTGGTTGGACCAGTTTGCACTCCCACCTACAGTGCAGGAGAGTTCCTTTTTCTCCACAACCTCGCCAGCATTTGTTGTTGCTATTTTTTTTAATATGTGCCTGCTTAAGTTTATTGACATAGAAAAGTAAATACCTGGTCACAAACTTCAACTTTGAGCCATTAAAAAGGCTCCTGATTATATAAGACTCATAAACGTTTAAAACTATTTCGACCTAGAAGTTTCAGCGTCATCATCTTAACAAGGACAACAACAACAACAACAACAACAAAAAAAAAAAACAGACGGAAATGGTTAATAATCTACCCTTTGTTCTAATTTTAAAATGTGAATAATTAACTATCAAGAAAAAAAACAGAAGTTTAAAAGCAATTCAATCCAATAAATGTCTAATTTGGAAATAGATTGGTCCTGCTGGTACAGTCTCCCCTGATGTACTGTGGCGATTCCCATGAAATCTGTCATACCTCAGCTAGCCCACTGGAGCATTAATGCCCCTAAGCTCTGCATTCAGGCACTTAAATGCTGGATGATACTGATATTTATGGGGATCATGGTTTGGGTGAAAGGCATAAAAAGTTCACATTTTTGCTACATCACATTTTGTTATCCAAAATGATACTGCTACAGATTTTACATTCTAAAAATCAGTTTCTCCCAGGTTAGAACTGCTAACCCCTTCCATTATTAGGGTTTATATAGAGAAATAAGCATTTACTACTGTACCTAACTATACCAAGACTTTTATCAGAGTAGAAGTTGGCGTCCAGACAGTGTGACTCTGGTACATATCATCACAGAAAGGCACAGCCTTCATGGACCTCTTCAGGGGAATCTGGTTCCCAAAGGATCCCAAGAAATTTTTTCTCCAGTGAAAAATTTTTTCTCCAGTGAAATTTTTTCTCAGGCTTTGGGCTATCCGTATGCTGGTAAATGCCCAGTGAGTGACTTTCTTTCAAAACGAAAGAAGGAAAAGAGGATCAGAAAGAGGAAGGAGGAGGAGAGAGAGGAAAGGGAAGAAGAGGAAGAAATAATAAAGAAATTAGAAGAGCAATCTCCTCTCTCCACCCCAGAAGCAATTAAGCATGGAAACAGAATGGGCCAAGCTAAACATTAACAAACCCTGCTTGTTGGCCTTTGACAGCACAGGGTAGAGACATGAGCCGGCTCTCAGGAACCTGCCAGCTGGGTCCAAAACCCAGCCTCACCATGCAGAAGGGATGTGACCGTGAATAAGTTAATTAGCCTCTCTGAGTCTCTGTTTCTTCAACCACCAACAGGACTGACCCCAAAGTCCTGGAGAAGAGGGTCTAAATGATAGACCCTGCTTTAAAAAGCAAGAAAGACTCTGCTTAAGTGCCTGCCTTAGGCACTTTGCCTCTCCCTGGCCTGGAGGGCTAACAGCCTAACCTGGAAGATTTGTTACTGATGTTGACGCCATACTAGGGAAAGCAAGACGTAGCCAATGTTATTGGATTTTTTTATTAAAAAACAAATTAAATAAAATAGTGATCAATCCTATATAAAATTGAGCTGGTGTTCAAAGTTCATGGTGGGGAAGGCTCAGAAGATGGAGACGAGGTGGTGGTAACAGCAGTTTCTTTTTCTTCGTAGCTGGGAGGCAATTCGGATAAGAGATATGGAGGCTGTGAGATTTCAGAAAATGAAGTTGTTCCAGAAATAGTATAGATAGATTCTCGATCTCTCGCAGAGGTTGCCCCTTGGCCGTCAGGAGTTGGGGTCCTGCTAAGAGAAAGAAGATGTGAAAGGAGAGAGTGACACACCTGAAGTATGAGGTTCTCTACAAATGTCAAGCTGGATGCATTTAGGAGCATTTGCCAAAAGCTAAGGTCATTTCTTTCATAGTCTGTTTTAGATAGATGTCAATTCCTCGGGCCTTACACTGACAGTCTCACTCCTGTTGTCATTTCCCTTGTCACTGAAATGACATGTACAAAGCATAGATGGCATCTAGAAGGAGCACACACACACAGGGCCATTGTTCTCTGCTATTCTGGCTTCTGAGAGCTAAAATAAGGAAGGTAAACTTATGCAAATAGAAAATTCAATCATTAAGCCAAAACTCCAAGGGAGGCAGGCGGGCACACTGGTTAATGCTGTGGATTCTGGCAAAAGGCACACCTACATCTGAATTTCCACTCTCCTGCCTTCTAGCTGTGTGATCGTGGACAAGTTATTTAACTTCCTTAAGTCTCAGTGTCCTTATCTGTAAAATGCGGATAATAACTGCCTACCCACCGAGCGGCTATGAGAATTACAGAGGTCATTCAAGAAAAGCCAGCCTGGCACACAGAAACCGAACAGCAGCAGTAGGAGTAGATTTTTAAGTGACTGGACATTTGTTTTAAGGCTTGAGGAAGCTCATCACAGGAGTACTGAACACTGAAATCCACTAACAATTGTACAAATACCCAGAGCCTAACCAACCCTTCATCCACACAGGGCAATTCCTACATCTGCCTCTGGTCGGAGCTCCAGCATTCCACCCACTGGGAACAAGAGCCTGTGCCCACAGCATGAACAGCCAGGTTAGGAACCCAGCCCCAGAAAGTTCCTGTGGCTCTTGGGTCTTGCATTCTCTGCTTTTAAAATTGCACCCATGTCAGTGTCTTTAAACTCGCTATTCGCTGACCCCCACTCATGCCTCCTGTTTGGCTTGTGAAATTTTCCAGAAATTCTTCCTTTACTTCCTACATCCTGGTTTCCCATTAGAGAAAGTACCAGGCCTCTTCCAGCCATGCTCCTCCCTGCCACTTGCAGGAACTGCTTCCTAGCTCACCTTTCCCTTGTGAGGCGTCTCTACAGGAAACTGCCCTGCTCCCAGGTCATGTCTAGCACCTCATCTCTCTCCCCAGATCCAGTCCACCCAGTCTACCTCCAAGACCCACCTCGCACTCGCCCTGTGTGGCAGGCTAGCTCGCCATCAGCTCCCTGCTGCTCAGACAGGCGCATTCCGCCATACAGTCACTCCCGCTGACGGCCTGACCTCTACTTTCTTCACTGTCATCCTCCACTGTAGATTCCCTCCAGGCTCCTCCCCAGTCTAGCCACCAGGTTCAGGGTCCTTTGACCGCAGGACTGTGCACGAGAGGTTCCAATGGAAAGTCTTACCCATTGCTAAAAATACTGTAGTATGATGGTGGATTTTCGCTGGGAAGCACACTGTGAGTTCCCGCAGATGCTGGAGACTCAGGAAAGTAAGGCGGTGGGGGCGGTGGGAATATGATGACAGCATCACCTAGGGAAACGCAACATTTCATTGAAGACAGATGAGCAATAAATGCCAGCAGATTAGCAAGAGTAAAGTAAATTAATTCTATATTTGGCCTATCAATATAAAAGGTCAGCACCTGCTGCTAATGCCAGAATTTTTTAATGGGTTTATTGAATGAACAGAGACAGCAGAGGGTAGTTGTCTGCAGAGGCTGGGAGGGGAAAGGAGATGGGAGTTACTATTTAATGCAGGGTGCTGGGTTTCTGTTTGGGATGATGAAAAAGTACAGGAACTAGATGGCTGAATTTACTTAAAGCCACCTACACTTTTAAAAATGATGAAATGGCAATGTGAGGTACAGATATTTTGCTACAATTTTTTTAGGTGGGCCTACATCTTCAAAGCAAGACTGAAATGAAGCATTTGTTAATGAGATTCCTTATCTTCTCTAGAACGCCTATCACTGATAAAGCTTTATTTTCAACTTAAAATTTTAATTCATCAAAACCTAGCTGTGGGGTAAAGTGCCTCATTCCCCAAATGCAATTTCAATCTTGGAACGAAAGACGACAAGGCTGCCCTCCGGCCAGTGTGGCTGACACTCAGGGAGGCTTACCTACCAACACTTCACCCACACATTACAAAGGAAAGTCGAGTTCCAAGAGAAGCTTCTTTTTAGTATTTCTGTTGCTACTGATCACTCCTCATCTTTGGTGAGAGAGGGGTCACAAGGCACCAGACACAAGCTCTAATTTGTACTCTGCTTCCAATCCAAAACACACCTTAGGCTGACCAGAACATTTTAGACACATGGCAGCACTCTATGTAGAGGTTTGAGGGTGGCTGGTGATAAATTGGCAGCACCCAATGCTACAGGAAATGTAGGACAGAAGATTTACTCCCCTGAAGGGAGGTGACTGGTTCCCACCAGTGGCAGACTGATGTGTGCCCGATTAAGGACAGGACTCTTTAAAGCTGCTGGAGTTCCATTTGCCAATTACCAACCTTGTGTGGCCTTGAACAAGTACATACCCCCTCTAGGCATCAGCTGCCACACCTACAAATAGTAGGCCTCAGCTCTACTGCCTCGGGACAGGTAGGAGGCCTGGCAGGGTGTGCAGCAGGGAAAACTGCTGAGCAGGCGCAAACCCCTTCACAGGCCACCACCAAGTGGCACTTATCTGCATGTCTGAGGAAACACCCCCCCCCTAGGGGCAGTCTGGACAGTGGTTCCACTCTCCACCAGCTTCCTCAACCACTTCCCGGAAAACTTAGCCCATCAGGGAATTGATTAACTCCATCTCTTCTGCAAGGAGAGGATGATTAGAGCTTAAAATATACATGGCTAACCTAAAGGCGATAAAAGCACACAGTCGTCTGCCGTCCTCATTAAATTTTTAAAGAAGGTCTTGGTAAGCCAGAGGAACTGAAGTTGAATGTTTGCTTTAATCTACATTGTAGAACACGCTCTGGGAATCAGCTGCTGGGGCTGAATCCACTCAGCAGACACACGCCAGAGACGTCCTAAGCTGCCAGTTGCCCCGCGCGTGTGCTTGCCTCTGCCCAGTCTGCTCCCTGCCCTCCCATACCTTGTACCCTGCTTTCCCTGGGAAGGGGTCCTCGATTCCTCTGAGGCTCCTCTTTCACTGTGTCCTGTGGGACATGATGTCCTCTGTTCGTTGACAATCGTTCGTGCCTGCCTCCAGGGAAGGGCTTTCTCACGAACTTGCTGGTGTAGCCAGGGGACCCCACTGAGTCTGCCCACAACTGGGATATCATGCCTTTCGGTGTATCTACCCTGTGGAGCAGGGCTTCCACGTTAGGAGCAGCTGAATTCTGAGACCTAGCCAGGAACTTCCTCTCATCACCCCAATTTCCCTCATAAGGCAGAACTGACTGTTGATAGACAACGTCTAGAGTCTTATCAATTGTGCTAAAAGAAGGCATGATTTCTAACAATTTAAGCCTTTTCCATAATATCAAAGGAGAAGAAAACCAGGAATTAGGGTGCCAGGTTTTCACTGTTTGATGGGAATTAAAAAGATTAAGTGGAAAAGATTGTAAACCTTGCAGAGCCCACCCACATCAGGACAGAACCACCCAGGAGTGGCCCAACAGGCCGCTCCTACCTCCCTCTGACTCCAGTCCCCTGTGGAAGGCTGGGCCCCCAAACTCCCCTGATAGTTAGCCTAGCACACCTTGATATGTTCCCCACAAAGTGGAAGACTAGAGTATCCTGTGAGTGCATTTATTATGAACATCTGTAACATCTGCCTGCATTAGGTGAGCCCTTTATCATGTACCAACTGCCCAGAATACCAGTGAAGGATGAAACCAGCAGAGAGGATCACACTGTGTTTCTGGGGAGGGTGCTCTGTGCGACAGTATATGCACGTCCATCATTTGGGTTTGGGTCCTGGCTCTCCCCTTGCTATTTGTGACCTTGGACATGTCATTTGATATCCCTGGACCTCACTTTCTTCCTCTCCAGCATGGAGGTACTAAGCCAGTCTGCCCCAGTGGGGTGCTGGAGGAGGCATGAATGGAGTTCATGCAGTGGGCTCTTGCTCTACCACCGCCTTCACCTCGCTTTCTTAGATGACAGGCTGTGGCTCTTCAGGCTTTAGCCTCTCAAAAGCAAGAGGCCAAAACTGGGGACTTACAAAAATGAGCAGCAGCAGGACTTTTCCTTGGTTGCATGAAACTGAGGCCAAAGTTACGGATGTTCTATGGGAGGCGGGGGGTGGGGGAGGGCAGCAGGTAACTGACTCTGGAAAACGGTAGCTCATCTCTTCCATAGAACCTGGACCCAAAAGGAACTTCCAGTCATTCCGTGGGGGAAAGAAGTGACGGTAGTGTTAATGTTTCATCTTGGTCTACACCACTGCTTCCAAACGTTGCCCCAACCCTGAAGCCACATTACAGAAAGTAAAGAATAATGTGGAAGGCAGTGCAAAAGGTCCCCTCAAAACAGAGAAGACCAGTGGACTTGGGACAGACTTGGAATCTTGGAATGTCAGTGCTGGAAGGAGTCTTAGAAATGCAATGCTAAGTTATAGACATATAAACTAAGGCCAGCAAAGGCTAAGGACTTACCAAGGACAGCCAGCCAGTGACAGCCTGGGATGAGAGCTCATGTGCCACCAACACAAAGTGCTGTAAGAGGTCAGTGTGAGAAACTGGCAGGTCCCTTAGGTAAGACACGGCTCCGAGGCTGACCTCGGGATTCATCTCACTTTCCTCTTTATTTGTTTTGTGATCTCAGTCAAAGTGGCTATTTAATATTCCAATGTTTTTGTTAATTAAGGAATTAATTTTGCTAATTAAGGAATTCCAATGTTTTGCTTGGGGATGGGGGATGGTGATATGTACAGGGATTCCTATGGAGCTTACTTACCACAGCAGTGTGTGTGTGTGTGTGTGTGTGTGTGTGTGTGTGTGAGAGAGAGAGAGAGAGAGAGAGAGAGAGAATGAACCTATGCCAGACCTAAGGGCAGCCCACTGAAGCTTTGATGCTGCAGCCCCTGTGACAGAAGCAAGCAGAGAAATGACGCCACTCACCTACAGTGACCTGGACAGGCTCCGTGTTCTCGGTCTGTCTCTCCTCACTTTCAGGGGTGTCCTGGCCCACATTCAAGTTGTTTCTCTTTTTAACATGGGCAACCACGAAGAAACACAATCCCAGGAGCACAATCAAGGGCCCCATGATCTGCAGCGACAAGAAGCCACAGATCGCGGGCTCTGACTCCGCAGTGTCTGTGTTGTTCAGCGGTTCCTGCGTCCAGACTGAGCTGCATCCAGGGACCCAGATGCCCAGGATGCTGATGAGCATGCCGCTCGTCAGGAACAGAAACCCGAAGATGAGACACTGGGCAAACTGGCGGCTCTCTCCACAGATGAAGGCTTGGTCAGGGTCCACCAGGATGCCTCGCCTCTGCCTCTCCCGAAGCTGAAGTCGAGCCCTGGAGCGGGCCAGGATCACAGCCCCAAGCCCCACCACGGCGCATGAGGGCCCAGCGACCTTCAGCACCATGCTGCAGTCTGGGAGGGCTTCATACTGGCATGCCTGGAAGCCAAAGAGGGAGAGCAGCACTCCCACACACAACAGGATGGCGCCAAAGACAAAAAGGAAGAAAATGAGCTTGCTGATGTGCCTGTCTTCCTGGAGCTCATCTGGCTCAGCAGCCGCTGCTGGAGACATGGCCAGAGGGGGCTGCTGCACGGAGGCCAGGTGGGATGCGCTTCCTTCTCTCCAGTGGTTTCACCAGCTCTGCAAACAGCCAAACACCACATTAAAGTGGCCACAGGTGTTCCTGACCCACCCTGTTCTTTTCTGACCATTTCAGAAATCACACTAGGATGAAATTATAGGGAACAGAACTCGATGCAATGGATGCACTGTAGAACAATGAGCTGGCTGATGACTCAGAAGAACTGACATTCAGAAACTCCTGAATATGTCATTTTATGAAGATAGTCAAGAAGAGGAAATGCAATTACCATGCACCTAAGAGTATCTTAAAAAACAAAACCCATAGAACAAAACTAATTGGGTATGCCTTTTCCTGCTGTGAGTCTTACCAACTGACTTGCCCAGGCCAAAAACAAACAAACAAACAACGGCTAAAAAGTGCAGAATCACAGGGATTCCTTCTGATTTATACATTTACAGATGTCCCCCATTTCAGCTTCTCTGAGCATTCCCAAACTGGTAAATCTTTGTTCAACAGTTAACTTTCCTGTGGCCACTTTCCATTCCACACTTAGGCCACATCTACAGGAGACCCAAATTCAACAGTTTCAAGGGAATGGGAAGGCAGTTCAGGAACACAGTGGGTTTGGTAGATTTTAAATTAATTCTGTCAAAATGTATTTCTTGAGTTTTCAAACAGGCATATTCTGGCTGCTTGAGCCTGGGATGCCCCAGGGGAGCCTGACAGAGCAGGTAAGGAGGAGACCTGTCTCCAAGATGCTGGGTGCCCCTGGTGTGCAGGCACCTCTCACTCACTCTCCTCCATGGTGCCACCCACTTCCACAAACAAGTCTAGGTACAGTTAAAAATAGGCTGTCGATAGAATCACCAGTTAAAAACACTAAACAGTAACAGAACTTGACTTTGATAAAAGAGTATAAACGAAATGACGTAGGAAATCCCCTTCCACAAGATCACCTAAGTCCTATACTTCAAGGATGTCCTATGGTCAGTGTACCCCCAGTAGGTGTCCACCGCACCCTGACTATCGCCTCTACTCTGTTGAGTGAGGTATTTTGCCAGGACCTTTCAAGAGGAGACACTGAAAAAAACAACCCAAGTATGAAGACCATTTCCACGTGCTCAAGGGAAAAAACCCTAAAATATTTTGTGTCACTCAAACCATGGTGACATGAAGGAGCTCAAGACTGAGACTCTAAAGTCAAGGCCATCTTGACAAAACCAAATCAGGTCCAACTTCCTGTCTTACACTAGGAAGTATTTTTCCAGGAAAAAGTACAATAGAATCAGAAGGGGAAAGAGGGAAATATGTAGGAAATAAATTTCCATTTTAAACTTGGACAAACTATATTTATGAAGATACAGTTGAGCTGAGACAAAGTATTGCACTAATTAAAATAAAATCGGAATCATATCATCCCTTTCGCTGGTTGCAGAGATAAGGTTGCCTCTGCTACAAAGTCCTATGGGGAATTCATTGTATTCCTGGTATTGCTTCAACTCTGAAGTAAGTCTTAAGACTTCAGCTGTCTTAAACAAATGTCCAGACACTTTTTTTAAAAGCCAAAAACTGGATTTGTACGTTCCCCTCCATGGACTAGTGGACTAATAAACACCTGGCATATGTGTTAATCCCTGATCCAAAATAATGCGCGACGAGTCTCTCGCCCTTTCACAAAGATGCGCTCACAAATGGACACGCAGACACCTACACTCCTAGGAAATCAAACCTTTTCCAGATGCCAGCCCACACTCCCCCAAGGCCGAGTCCCCCACCCCAACACTGTCATGCAAAGGACATGTACACGTTAACAGCATCTCACCAAAGCTCTGGGTGCGTTAGGGGATCCAGGCAGAGATGCAAAAGTCTTTCACGGGAAATAGCTCGCTGGATTTTGGGCACCCGGAGCGCAACAACAGCCCCCCTTGGCGAGAGGCGCAGACACAGCGCAGGCTCCCCCGCCCCGCGCCGCTCCTGGCACCCAGGCTCGGCGGGCGGGACGCGGCGCGGGGCGCGGGGCGCGGGGCGCGGGGCCTGCGAACGCCGAGCCCTGGGCGCCGAGGAGCGCCGAGCCGGAGCCGCTTACCTAACTCGTCCTGCGTGCGCGCCGCCTGCGCCGGGGCTGCCTGCGCCGGGGCGCGCCCCGGGAGCCTGGGGCGGGCCTCGGGGGCTGTCGTCTGGCTCGGCCACGGAGCTGGGCGCGGCGTCGGCCTCCGCTGCTCCCGCCGGCCCGCACGCTCCCACCTGCGCGTCCGCGCGCCGAGGCCGGGCCGCCCCGGTATTTACAAAAGGAGGCGGCGCTGGGAGGGCGCGGCCGCAGGGAAGATGACGGCCGGGGCAGACGGCCTGGCGGGAGCGGGCCGCACCAGCCCGCTGCTGAAGGTGCCGTCCTCCGGGCCAGGGCGCGCCCGGCGCGGGTGTGCGGCTCGGCCGCGGGGCGCGCGGGGCAGACCTGGCCGCTTCCGCGCCCGTGACTGCGTGCGCGTGGGGCCGGGGAGAGCGAGCGCCCCGCCGCCGCCCTGGGCCTAAGCGCTTGGGGCGAGGGGCAGCGAATTGAGCTGCTTCTCCCGGCTCTCCGAACTCCTTGAGCCGGAGTAGCCCTTCGGGGCCCACGGCTCAGAATTCAGCAGGGGGAGTGTGAGAAAAGGAAGCGCCTGCCCTCCTCTCGGTTTTGACCGCGGATAAGCCAACTAGGATCCCCGAAATTCCCGCCGCGCCCTCAGTCACCTCTCCGTTGGGGGGGGGGGACACGGGTCTGCCCAGTGGCCGGGCGACCGTCCCAGCAAGCCGGAGACCTTGCCTGGGTCACCGGGGCAAGTCTCTCGCGGTGAGCTTCCCTAGCAGTTTATGGAGACACCAGGTCAGGAAAACGTGTGCTCATCAGAAGGTCCTAAGGTGTTTTCACCAGCGTCATCGAGGTATAAAGTCTTAGCTGTGAGACTGAAGCCCTAGACCGTGTGCTGGCTCAGCTCCGTCCCTCTGCTTTCTCAGGAAAGCTCACACACCTCCCCGGCCATAGAATCCTTTTCCCAGTTCTCAGTAATCGCTAATGATCTACTGGAATTAAACTGGTAACTTTCCCTGCCCTTGAACCAGGAGTTTCGGGATGGGTTTACTAATCCCAGTGCTGTTTGTAAGCTGCCCCGTGACACGTATCCAACTGTACCAGTTTCCACACCAGAGGTCACGTCGATGTGGAAGGTGAGTCAAGGGCTCAGCCCAGCTGGGAAGCACCGTGAGCCCCGGGACTTCCCCGTCCACACACCCCTTCCTGGCTTCCTGTCCACTTTGCCTGAAACCCAGCTAAGAGTGAAGGCCAATTGCATTAGCCTTTTTACAGTAAGGTTGCTTTACATACCTAGTGTAACAAATTGTTCCCAGGCGATCTCACTGAGAGTGAAGAATGAGTTAGGCTTTGCTAATTACCAGCAGCGAGGAGCCTCTTATGAAAGGATTCAGAGGTAAGCAAAAAGGAGAATGTTCCCTGGGCACCCAGGGTTGGGGTGGGTGAGGGGACTCAATGGACAAGTTCCAGCCATTGGGCTTGGTAGGGGCACTTGCCCCCATGGCCAGATGTGACCTTTTTCATAGTCAGGGACCTGCTCTCTGCGCACTCTGCCCTCACAGCCACTGGCGAGGACCACATGAAGTGCTTACAGCGGCACACCTCACCTGCTGCTGGGTCCTGAGCTTGTGCGTCCACACTGTGTGTCCAGCAACTCTGAGAAGGCTGGAGCCAAAGGAGTTGGGGAGCTAAAAACTGTCATTTTTCAGCTGAAGAAATTGAGGCTCAAAGATGCAAAATGACCTCCACGGCTAGTCAGATAAGGAAGGAGGGCCTGGAGCAGGAGGAAGGAGGGCCTGCTATTCCCTGTTCCTCCTAGGCACGCCTATCGCCCAGCGGACACTTAGACCGCGAGCTCAGAAAAATGGCATTTCATTACATAACTTTTTGATCATTCTGACAATACAGATGCTGGACACAACAGCAGTCTGTGTCCAGGTGGAGATCACCGGGTCAAAGTGTCAGGATTTATCACCTTCTGAAGGGCCTCAGGATCCACCCACCAACAAGCAGATAAGCCACAGCAGTGGTTGCACAACAGCTCAGGCCCTGCACTTTCTAAGAACTCAGGCCCTGGCTAGCAGGTTTATCGTCTCGACAGGCCTGCTAACTACTCTGATATAGGGGCTGCCAACTCTTTCCCCTGCCCACTCTTTCCTTCTCCTTTATTTGAAACTAAATCTCTGGCTGTGTTGTGTGGGGACCTGCAAGGGGCCTGTTGCTACAGCTGCCCCTCTGGTGCCACATGACTGCAGGCTGGCCACACATGACGGACTTGAATGTACTGGCACCAAGGACAATCAGATTAGCCTCCACTTGGGATTCTGCTGCTTGGATTATTTGTGTCTTTTGGAGCCTGTTTGACTAAATTAGACTCCTTGGAAACCATCATCGATCAAGTGTGAAAGACACACTCAACCAGCCTTCAAAGTGCTTATCTTTGTAGCAGACTCTTGTTAGGAAAGAGACTAGATGATCTAATCACTAAAACCCAGCGATCTTTCTCAGCCTGTGAGGTATTGAAAACAGATAAGCCCTAGCAGAATCCTTAGAAAAATAGCATCAGAACAAGTTTATAAAATGAGCAAAACTTACCTTGAATTTGGGAAGTGAAGACAGAGGATAAAGTCAAAGCATTTATTCATTCATTCACTGGGCAAATACTGAGTGCTGAACTTGTGCCAATGAACAAAACACACCATCCTTTCCTTTGTGGAATTTATGTTGTAAGAGAAGAAAGCCAATAGAGGAGACATGTAAATTATACGTGTAAGTAAGAGAAGGCATTAAGTACAGTGGAGAAACAGAAGTGGCAGACAACGACTGGGGAATGCTGGGACATTACCGTTCTGATGGTAGTTAAGGAAGGCATCACTGAGAAAGTGACAATGCAGCAAAACTTGAAGGGATAGGGGAAGCAGCATACTGAGTATCTGTCACTGCATAACAAGCTACCCCCAAACACGGAAACTTGTAACAACGAAGATTTATTCTCTTTCACAGTTTCTGAGGGTTGGGAATCAGAGAGGGCTGAGCTGCATGGCTCTGGGTGTCTCCAGGGCTGCAGTCGAGCAGCTAGATGGGGCTCCACCATCTGCAGGTCTGGCTGGGGTGGGAGGGTGGCACACGCCCACTGCTGTGGCAGAGCTGCTTCCTGGTGGACCTCCTGCAGTGCCACCTGAGTGTCCTCATGACACTGGAGTGAGTGACCCAAGAGAGCCGATGAGGAGGAAGCTGATGTGGAAGTCCCACACCATCGTGCCTGCTTGAGTCTAAGAGCTGAGTCACTAAGTCAAGGGTGGCGAATTAAGTGCCACCTCTTGAAGGGAGAGCATCGAAGAACGTGTGAACACATTTCCAAATGGTCACAGAGAAACACGGTGATATGTAGGAGAAAAGGACATGCTGGGCAGGGGGACAGGAGAGCAGGGGCAGGAGCAGACATAGCACGTTCAAGGGGGAACAGAGGCTGGGTGGCTGGAGCAGGTGAGTGAGCGGGAGAGCAACAGAAGAGGCCACAGAGGAAGGAGCGTTGGTACCCTGGTTGTATAGAGCTTTGTGGACCATGGTATGTAACTGAGTGATCTAGGAAGGCTTTAGGGGTTTGTTTTTCTTTTAAGCTATGTTTGATGTGATTTAAAAACAAAACAAAACAAAACAGTGGCTTCAGGGTGAAAATACCCTGGGGAGGGGAAGAGGTGAAGGGCAGACACTGTGTAGGAAGGAGAGGGCACTGTGGCTTGTTTTTAGAGGTGATAAAAGCAACTGGATTCTGTATGAGTCTTGAAGATGGAGTCAACAGGTTTCCATGGACTGGATGTGGGTTTTAACTGCATGGTTTTTGGCCTGAGGAACTGGAAGGAAAGTTCTGACTGTGGTCATGATGGGAAAGACCAAGGGCAGGAAAAGTTGAGGGGAACATTTCGGAGTTCAGTTTGGGGTATGTTAGCCTCGAGGTGTCCATTACACATCTGAGTGGAGAAGTTGGGTAGGTGATGGAACGTACAGGCCTGGAGTCCAGGAGATCTGGAAGGAATGCTTTCCTGTGGCCTGTCAGCAGAGTCTATTACAAAATCAAGAAGCTGACCTCTCTCCTCTGGAAGTGTTATGTATGCATATGTGACTCCACCTGCCTGGTAACAGCCAGCACCATAGACAGCTGCAAGCAGGAACAAAAAGGCCAATTTGGTGCCAGCGGACATGGGGATTTCCGATGTTCAGGGTCCGCAGGCAGCCAGCGCAGCTGAGCTTCCACTGGCGCAAGGGCTTCTGAAGCTCTGTCCTCAGAGCCAGGCCCTAAGGAACACGTAGCCTTCATTCCCACAAGAAATATCCTCCAGGGCACTGCCAACCCGGAGAGGAAGCTCAGGGCAAGTAGCTGGATTAACTTGCCAAATTCAGTATCCATGTTGGTTGGGATTCACAAGTTTGCAGAAAGACAATCTGCAGTGAATCAGTCAACCAAGTCTGTCATCTTCTGGTCCCCTTTTGGTTTCTGGTTCTGCCCCAAATTAACCTCAGCCTGCAGAAGCATGCCTTGCTCTCTTCCAATACCTGTGGGCTGAGACTCCCCTGGGGACAGAGTTCAGGCATTTGTTCCCAAGCACTCAGTTTCAAGGAAGGGTCTCATGACTCCCAGGGACATCTCAGAACCTAGCTAGCACCATCTGGTGCCTAACCCTACAAGGGGTGATGCAGCAGGGAGGCCAAGGTCCCTGGGGCGTTTTCCTCCATCTCCACCCTATGTTGGACTTAGACCCAAGGGCCAGAGAGACATGTCCAGGGTGGGATTGACTGATTTGGCAAGCGTGAGCTGAAGGTTTAGGTCATCCCCAGTGGAAAGATAATCTTTTACAGAGT